GGGGTAGCGCTGCCAAACAAACCAGGAGCTGACTCTTTAGCAGCTATGTTTCTTTTACCTCCGATTTCCTAAAGATGTGTCCTTCTACACATTTCAAAGCTTCTGCTTTGACTTTCATGAGTTAGTCCATAATATTTGTTGTGCTATTGGAGAAAATAATTTCCATCTGTTCCTAATTATTTAAAAAAATGATGGTCTCTTCTTTAAAAAAAAAAAAAAGATGACTAATTCCTCCCTCTGTCCTCTGCTCAAATACTGAATCTCAGATCCTTTGAGGTCTCACAGAATTTAGGCGTTAATTCCCTTGAAAGCACTTTTTAAGCTACTGCACTCACCATGCAGATTTCATTAAACCTCCTACTCTATTCTTCCACTGGTGTCTCAGGAAAGGCAAAGGAACTTTTGTTGTATATTAAAGCACTTTGCTCAGAAATACTGTCTTTGGAGCCCATTTATGAATCTGTATGTATTTATTTAGCCTCCAGACAGGAAACAAGCATCTGTTAGGACTAAAGGAGAATGCAAGTGGACGATGTCTCATCTTATTTGTGGGGAACATCTGCTTACAATAATGTACAGAGCTCAGATTTCAGGGTTTGTAGTCTTGCATGGTTTCATCCTTAAATCATCTGTGTTGGCAAAGAATAGTGAGGACTAGGCCAGGATAAAAAAACATATGAAGCCTATGTACAGATGAGATCAAATGAAAAGCACAAGACTTACAATATCCCATAGCCAGTGTTTCTAGTTTCTAATGTGTTCACCTTGGAAGCTAGTGTATTTCTTCAATGATCGTATGTCAGAAGCTGTTCTTTTCTGGACTTCTTTATAATTGGCATTCAGACTAACAGGATAAATTTTGGGGAAATAGTTGCATGTGTTAGGTGACTAATGAGTTAGGTCATTCTAAGTGGAAACTCTGCAATAGTCAGGTTTCATCCATGTTTAAATAAATACGCAGAGACTGAGTACTTAGTCCTGACCCTGCTATTTGTTTTCTTTGTGGGGAATTTTACTTATATTACTTTAAGTATTATTTTTTTTGCCAGCCCTGGGGCTTGAACTCAGGACCTGGGCACTGTCCCTGAGCTTCTTTTGTTCAAGGCTACTGCTCTACCACTTGAGCCATAGCTCCACTTAAAGCTTTTGTGGTAGTTAATTGGAGATAAGAGTTTCACAGACTTTTCTGCCCAGGCTGGCTTCAAACCCCGATCTTCAGGTCTCAGCCTTCTGAGTAGCTAGGATTATAGGCATGAGCTACCAGCACCCAGCAATGTTAATTTTTTTTTCATAAGATGAAATTTTATGAGGATTAAATGAATAATGAGAGCATGAGTCTTGTCCATGTTGTTATTAAACCTTCTTTGTACATCTTGTTGTTGTGAACAGTATTGGCACAGAATCCCAGAGTCCTGGCATGCCAGTGCTTTCCGGGAGAATCTAATCAAGCTTCCTCTGTCCCAGATAATGACCCTGAGAATCATGATCACTGAGGAATTAGCTAGAATGGGTATGAGAGACCATTTTGAAAGAAAATACTTAGTTGGCACTTAGCACATTTAGGGCTGTTTTTTAAAAATATATACACACATTTTTAAAATACTTTTTTATTGTAAAAATACTGTACAGAGGGGTTACAGTTATATGAGCAAGGTAATGAGTACATTTCCTATCAACCATTGTTACTTCCTCCTTTGTTTTTCCCCTACCCTTCCTTCCCTCCCACCTCCACAACTACACAGCCCCCTCCACCCACCCTCCCTACCTAAATTGTAAAGTCCATTTTTCAATGTAGTATCTTGTACATCTCATTGTTACAGTGGGTCAACCTGTATCCCTATTTAAGCATTTTGTTTTTTCCCTTCCCCTCCCCAAGCTAGAGAAGTGTATATACAAGATGCAGGGCACCAACATCAAATACAGTGAAAACAGGTGTTATACTATGAGGAAGGAACATACAAAGAAACAAAAAAATCAGCCAGGCCCAAAGAAACATGGATCCTATGGTTTCCCTTATTTGCAATAACTAGTATATGTCTGGGACAAGCAGAAAAGGTCAAATGCTATGTACACATGACTAGATAAGATGATGTTAAGTGAAATGAACCCTAAGATAGGGACACAAGTGGTTTTTTTCTTTCTTGCTATAGTTTCTAACACATTTTTTTAAAGAAACTTACTGAAATCTACTAGCATGCCATCAAATTAACCGGGACACATTTTTCCTTGGGATTACAGATCAAGATCTTACTGTTTGTCTGTTCATCCAGAGGAAGAATGGCAAAAGTAGATAAGTACCATTCCCTAGAAAAGCTTTTATAGACTCTCTTTATCATCTGAATTTTTCAGTAAATGTTAGTAAGTGTGAGCTGTCACTGCCTCTGGGCGTACCTAATCATTTAGGACAGGTATGTGTGAATAAAGCCATGTGAGGGCTAAGGCACAGCTGTACAGGAGAAACCCACAGAAGAGAAGAACATGAAAAAGAGCAGGAATGATCTAATCTGAGGAGAAAGAAGATAGGAGAGTGTGATCTAAGAAGGAAGGTTCCTCTTTACTGACTGATAGAGGGCTACCAGGTCCTCTGTAGGCAGTTTCTGTACTGATATGTGGGGATATTAGCATACCATCATAGAGAGTATTGTTTACTGTAAACTGAAAACTCCTCAGAATAAATGTCCTGTAATTGTCCAAATAATAAATGTCCAAATACAGGATGATATTTTAACAACTCCTGCTCTTCAAAAGTGTTTACTTTTCTTAGTTGACAGACAAAATTGTATGCATTTATCATATATGATATGATCTTTTGAAGTATATATACTCATTAAAGAATGACTAAGTCTAGCTAATTGCCAAAGGCATCACCTCTCTTGGCAAGAGCACCTAACATCTGCTCTCTTCATTTTTCAAGAATATAATGCATTATCAGTAACTATAGCCACCATCTCCTGCAGCCAATTTGAAGTAATCATCCTATCTAACTGTAATTATGCATCCTTTGACCAACATGGTCCCATTACATCCCTGTCCACCCATCATAGCCTCCTGTAAACAGTCTGTTCTCTACTTCTATTTAATAAACATGTTTCTTTCTGTCTTTTTTCTTCCCCCCCCTCTCGATTTCAAGAAAGCAGATTTGTCTTTCTGTACCTGGGTTATTTCACTTACCATACTATCATTTACCATACTATCCTCCACACTCATCTCTATTGTCACAAGTAAAAAGATACTTCCTTCTTTTATATTGCTGAATTGTATTCCGTGTTTATATAGCAATTCGTTTTTAGGTTGATTCCATTATCTGGCTGTTGGGAACAGTGCTTCAGTGAGCATGTCAGCCCAGATGTCTCTTTGACATAATAATTTCATTTCCTTTAGCTTTATACCTAGCGATAGAATAGCAGGATGATAATGCAGTTCGGTTTTTAACTCTTTCTACTGATGCCTATATTTATTTATGTTCCCACAGAGTTATTATTAAGAATTCCAGTTCTTTGTTCATCCTTGCAAATATTTGTCATCTTTTATCTTTCTGATAATAGAAATCTTAGTAAAAGAAACAAATTCTCTATATCACCTTTGAAATGACTTGTTTCGTTATCACATTTAAAGAGAATTTAGTATGTTGAACATCCACCCATCCTTGCTCCCTTCTTTTAAAGGTGCAAATGCTAGCTGAGAGCTGGTGACTCATGCCTGTAATCCTAGCTACTCAGGAGGCTGAGATCTGAGGATCACGATTCAAAACCAGCCTGGGCAGGAAAGTCCGTGAAACTCTTATTTCCAATAAACCACGAGAAAACCGGAAGTGGCACTGTAGCTCAAGTGGTAGAATTCTAGCCTTGAGCTGAAGAGCTGAGGGACAGTGCTCAGGCCCAGAGTTCAAGCCCCACAACCGACAAAAAAAGGGTGCAAATACTCATGAGCAAGTTCTGGAAGCTGGGGTCACAATTATACTGGGTGCACAGTACACTTCGTAGCTTAAGATGTCAATGCTCTGGACAAGTTATTTTACAAGAAGCAATACTAGTGAAGAGGAATGACACTGTTGAGACTTTGTCTGAAAATTAGCAGAACACAAAATATTTCCTGCTGCCCTCCAGATAGTGGCCAGTAGAGTATACAGCTTGAAAACAATGGCAGAGTCTTTGAGGGATGAAGGCTGTTATGAAAGAACTATGGCTATTTGCTTGTTGTCTTTTTATCATGGACTTAGCCCAAGAAGAAAAACTGCTAATAAAAATGACTTCATCCTTTCATTTTTTAAAAAAAGAAAATTTAGTGTTCTATATAGAAAACATGTTTCTTTCAATTTTTTATTGTTTTTCTATGTATAAACATTTCAGAAAGGTACAGCAATTATATATTGATTAATAAGAAAAATGTGAAGATCCAATATAATTAATTATTTTACTAGCTAATTTTAAGCCTGCATGTGTCTATCCCATCATTATAATTATAATCACTCTCAATGAAGTTTCCCTACTCTGAAAGAAACAGGTTGGTGAGACTTGAGTCATGATTATAAAGTATACACTTGTCAATTGAACTTTCTCAAATCTAGGTCGCTAGGGCAAGGAGACCCCTTGAAAAACCAGGCTGAGTGTCAAATTCACAGGCCCTTCAAAATGAAATAATATTCTTTCAGCCCACATTTTGTCTCAAAGACAATGTAAACAATGCACTGATGTTAAGAAACAGAAAACCGTGCTCATGGTAATAGCAAAGCTTCATGGTGCATGTTTTTACACTTTAATACATTGTGCTTGCTTTTGCCATGTTAATATTTAATATGATTTCCTTTTTGTCCAGTTTTATATTCATCTCCTCTCTCCCTTCCCTTTTGTCACAGTTTTCTATAATGCTATACTGGAAAATCTTGGAAAAGAAAGTCTTGGAGCATAAAGTCAAATAATCTTTGTAAAATAATAACAAAACCAGCAATGGAAATGGATTTAAGGTTCTGCCTACAAATATTATCTTATGTTTTTCCACAGACTCAATCTGTGTCCCAGGCTTTGATCCAGGCCTCAACATGATGACTGGAATCACCCCCATTAACCCCATGATACCAGGCTTGGGCCTGGTACCACCCCCACCACCAACAGAAGTGGCCGTTGTCAAAGAAATAATCCACTGCAAAAGTTGTACTCTTTTCCCTCAAAATCCAAGTGAGTAGCAACTCTAAGAAATACTTTGCTTGGTATTTTAAATTTTTTTATTTGAATTTGCATTGTATTTGTTTTCAGGTGTGATTCACCCAGGCATGTACAAAAAGGATTATTCTTCAGATGCTTCTGTCTCTAGATTAGAGCAAATATACAGGGTATATCCTTGTGTCTGCCAAGAGTTCAATCAGTATGGAGTATTTAAGGGTTTATATCTAGCATTGAGAATCTTTTTGCATGCATTGGAGTCAAGTATTTCCGAGAGAACGGTGTGAAATAGATAAGCATTTCCATCTATCTTCACAACTGTGAGAGAAAAAGTCTGAAATGTGTTTTGCTAGATGGAACTTTAAATTAACTTAGGAGTTAACAATTTTTGAGGAGAGGAGAACCTGTATCTCCTAACTTCCGGGCCAAATTGCATATGAAGTAAATGGACTGGAATTTTTTTTAATTTACCCTCAAATAACTGGGGTTATGGACTTAAATAGCTAGGATTTTAAAAAATTTGTATTAATCAGTGTTGCCTTTTTTTCAAGAGATTGCTTTAGTAATCTACATGTAAACTAGGTAAAACGTTGTGACAGTATACATTTTATCTTCTTATACAGCCTCCCCCAAATTTAATAGTTTGCTCATTTAAATGCGAATAATAACCAAGTATTTTTTCAGGCACAGCGTCTTGCTTGCCAAGTAAGTATTGTGCGTGCTTTCTTGGGTCACGCTTCTGTGTTCTACGATGCTGCATTTTTATCTGGCAAGAAGACAAAGCAGAGAACAAGCCAAGGTTTTTCTTCACGTTGTCATTTCATCGTGTTTTGTACTTTGTGAAGCCTTTCCTCCCCTTTTCCTAAGCTTCTGTGTTATGAAGGAAAAATGAAATTATGCTAACATGTGCATCACCTTTGTTCACAGACAAGCATAGACAGGCTATGCGAAAATGAACACAAAGAATCAAGGTTGGGAGGAGGAGGGGAGAGGAAAATAAAAGTTTCTATAAAAGTTGACTATGACCCAGTCTAATGCAAGTAACTGCAAAGCTTGACTTTTGCCAAGTGAACCAGGAAAAAGAAAGTCAGTAAATCAAAGACAAAAAAAAAAAATTCTGTGTTTCATTGTGATATTAGATCTTCCACCTCCATCCACAAGAGAACGACCTCCTGGGTGCAAGACTGTGTTTGTTGGAGGATTACCAGAGAATGCTACTGAAGAAATCATTCAAGAAGTCTTTGAGCAGTGTGGTGATATCACAGCTATCCGAAAGAGCAAGAAGAATTTTTGTCACATTCGCTTTGCAGAAGAATTCATGGTTGATAAAGCCATTTACCTTTCTGGTACTTTGCTTTACATAAGGGGTTTTCTGGGCATTTTGTCATGTTTTGTGATGTTAATGTGAACTTATTTCCTTTTGCCTTAGTCCACAATAAGGTTCTGGTGGGTTTGGGGCTGGAGAAGGAGGAATTCTGCCTTTTTTTCCTCTCAGCTTTGAGGCACTCTCTGTTACCTTTATAAGAGGGTGCCTCATGGACCTTGCTGCAGGAAATATTTCCTACTATCCAGTCTTTAGAAATTCCATTGAGTTTTTAATTAATGCTCTCAAGTGCTTATTAGATAAAAGCTAATATTATGAGTACTGAGGACCATTATTATTCTTGGGTGGAATCCTCTTTCAGTCTTTTAAAAGTGAATTCCCTTTCACCACCTTGGGGGTACCAAAGCAAGATCCGTTCTTTGCAGGAAAGTACTTCGTGGGCCCCTGGTAGGTCTAGCATCATCCCTCATTTAAATCTGTTCCACCATCCTTGTTCTTTGGTGTCAGATTTTATGCAAGATCTTTTCCAATGTTGAAATTAAGTGTAGGACTGCTTTCCACTCATGGGTGTTGAAGTATGTGGAATCTGTCAACAAGTCCTTTTCCAAATTTAAGAATAGTAAGGCTAGTGTTGGTGTATGTGTGGCTTTTAAAAGGGCATATTTTTAGATTAATTTATTGGTCTTTCCTCATGCTCCAGCAAGAGTTTTCAGTCTCCTACTTCCTGTATATCCATCTTTATTCCCAAGGCAAAGCTAATGGCTAATGGTGGGAAAACAATAGGAAAAAAATGTGTGAATATGACTGCCAGGTTTTACTTAATTTCTGCAGTCTGCTTCTATTGCTGTGATGTTCTGTGCAAACCCCAGAAGCCTTGAGGTTGTTGCAATACCTCAGAGACTTTCTTGAGTTACATAGAAATGTGAAGAATTTAAAAACCTTTATTCCAGTAAACTTACAATATGAAAAAGAAAATAAAGTCTGGGAGTATTCCCTAGTAGGAAAGGGAAACAGAACTGAAGACATTTTGCAGCGCACACACAGTTGTCAGACTATGGGGGTCTGGAGAGTGTAATGCTGGGGTTCAAAGCCCTGACTGGATTACCTTCCTCAGAGCCTCTACATACTCATCTGCAGAATTATTACACTCACCAACCAGGACTATTAGGAAATGTAGAACAAATAATCACCCATTCTACATTGTGTTATTTCTTAATAGTACCTGATTGTGATAAAGAAGGCTTGATTCTTGTTTCTCTGCAAACCCTGCCCAGGAGACCTGAGTTCTAGTCACTATGTTAAACTATAACTTATCAATAAAACTTCTGCTTATTCCACCTCATTCAATGAGAGGTTCAGAGCAGATCAAAGCTCCTTTCAACATGAACACAATTCAATGCTTAGACCCAATCAAAAGGTCATTCACAGCCCCGAGGTTAGACATGCGAAAGGGAGTTCCTTTACTTTTGCTTCAATGCTCCTTGTCTTTTGCAGAAGCAGGAAGTCCCACCACAGGTCTCACCTGCAACTTCCCTGTCTAAGCAGAGGGCAGTCCCTGGCTCTACCACCTCAGCTCTCCAGAGCTGAGACAATCTGAAAGGCTGACTAATTGAAGGGGTAGGAAGGAGGCAAGCTGCCCTTCCTGCATCAAGCTTCTGCAAGCCCAAGCCCAGCTGGAAGGTCTAATTTTAGTACCGCATTCACATCTGACGGCCAAACTAATTTTAGTCTCAGCCTCATCAGGGTCTCTTTTAAGGCTGTAATGATGATGTTCTGGTGAAAGAGAAGGTGTATCTGGAACAGAAATGTCTGGAAAGTGATTCTCTGGATGTGAGCAGGGGAAAGTTGCCTAGCCAGTTTGGACAGTGGCCAGTCCTAGGCCGGTCCTGCCACCCAGCTGTTCTGTGCATCACTGTGGCCTGCTCACTTGTTCATGTTCCATGGTCCTCCACAACCAAGGCACACTTTGATCTAGCAGTTAGTTCTGCTGATTAGTGAGTGGCTGTTTGCATGGTTGATCAGTGCAGTTATGTCTTTACCTTTTACTATACACAGTGGAAGCCTGGGAAGGAGAAGGGTTCAGTGGCTTGAAGCATCAGATATGAGATCTGTATCTTATTTGTAAGTTTTCAAAGGTGTGAAGTGCCCTACTGGGGAAAAGTTGGCCATTATAGGGATTTGCAGCTGCGTTTTAACCCAGAATGCTACAGACAGTCCATCCAAACTACCATGAGCTCCCAAACATCAGCACAACACAACACAACTCAGCATTTTACAGTTGTATATTTCATTTGTAAAGCCTGACATGGCAAAAGTGCTTATTTTGCTCTCTTCTCTGGCAGCATCTAGCAGCTGAGTTCCTTCTGGGACCTGAATTTATGTTCTGAAAATCAAAGTACCCCAAAGTGAAGAGCAACCTCAAAGTCAAGTCTTCTTCATTTGAAGTTGGCTGGCTGGCTTCAGGCCTGCGTTGATGTCTTAGATCAAGTTTCAGCTCATAATCTCTATAAGTGTGTTAGCTCAAGTAAATCCTCCAGAGTTCTAGATCTACTGTGTGTGGGGGTGGGTGGGGGGGGCTTCAAAGGTTGTATGGACAATTTGTATGGCCCTGCGTGCCAGATGGGTGCTGCAGGCTGAGAATGAGGCAACAGCCAGATCTCTTGGTAGAAGGTAAAATATTTTCCTGAGTGTCCCAGAGGGTATGTGGAAATGAAACAATATTGCAAAATTGCCCTAGTAATTGTGGCTTTTGCAGCTGCAGTGAGAAAATTCAACTGCAGCCTTTCCTAGAGGAATGAAGCAGTACCCTGCAAGTGAGGTGTTCTGGCATTTACTTTGTAGATCCCCTTAAATATCACAGATGCTCTTTCTGTGCTCATACCCCACCTCTTTCTAGAAAGAATTTTGAGTGCTTATGCAATAGAGTTACAGTAAATTCCAAATACAAAACACAGCCATATAAAGAAATATATATACATGTATGTACACACACACACACACACACACTACATGTCAAATATGTTTCTGAGCTTCCTGAAAACCAGAGGGAAGAAGGGGGCCCAATTAGTATCTTTTTCCTTGAGGTCATCTTCTGGGTGACAGTAATTGGTACATGGTAAGAAATTCTCTGAGACACTTCTGGAACGATCTTTGTCCCCAGACCTGTAACAGGCTTAATTTAGCAGTATTTCATGATGGATGGGAAGAAGCCATTAGCCTTTCTACCTCCTAGGGGAAAGATGTCCTATCCTGAGCACAGAGAAATAAACCTGTGCTTGCTTAGCATTGGGTAAAGCTCGAACCCAAAGTTGTGTCCATTGTGACCAGACTTTCTCCGCTGCTTCAGGTTACCGAATGCGGTTAGGGTCAAGTACAGACAAAAAGGATTCTGGCCGCCTTCACGTCGACTTTGCCCAGGCCAGAGATGACTTCTATGAGTGGGAATGCAAGCAGAGGATGCGAGCCCGTGAGGAGAGGCACCGGCGCAAGCTGGAGGAGGACCGGCTCCGGCCACCGTCCCCACCGGCCATCATGCACTACTCCGAGCACGAAGCCGCCCTGTTGGCTGAGAAGCTGAAAGGTATGCAGTCTCACAGCTGGCATTTCTTCCTCTGCCTTAGCTACATTGCCCGCTGACAGATAAACGTAGCCATCTCCAAAGGCCGCAGCTCTGGAAACCTCTCCGGTCCCTTCATCTGTTGATTTCCCCCCCGAGAGAGCAGGAACAACCTAGAATCTGCAGACTGCTGGGCTTCAGCAGGACCCAGGCCTTTCCAGCCCCTTCTCCTGCATGCCCCAGGAATGTGTGCACTGTCACTCCACCAAGTGCGGTGAATGAGGTGACAGAGAGCTGGCAGCAGCAGTCCTACACCCAATCGCCTGTCCTCTGTTGTTCTAGTTAGCTCCCACTGAGCCAGCCACACTTCCTAGTGTCCCCTGTGGAGTTTGCACTTCCACCTGAGTGTGCCCTCCTGAGGCACACTGGGCCCTGAACTGAGGCCCACAGAAGACAGAGGAGAAGCCTAGAATTGGATCCCTCCCTCCAGAGGTGGAAGTGTTTGATAAAGGCAAAGAAATGGCTCAAGTGTAGAGTACTGGCCTTGAGCAGCAAAGACTAACCAAGAGCATGAGGCCATAAATTCACACCCCAGTACTGGCACAGGCCCAAGTACTGGAACACACGGGCACGCGCATGGACGCACACACACACACAGACACAGATACACAAATACAGAGATGGAGACCCTTCAGACACCTACAGATGTAGCAATGTAAGTGTACACACTTCCCTGCCCAAAAGATTTCAAAGGCCTCCTCTGACTTCCAAGCTTTTGGATATAACTACACATAGAAGACCTTACTACATGCCCAGCAGAACTTCAGTGATGATGGGGAAAAGACCAGGTTTTGAAGTCAAGATGACGGTGGTGGTGGTGTATGTGTGTGTATTGACCCAAGTGTGTGAGATGAGCAGCATATAGACATTTAGACATTTTGTAGGCAAATCATGGTCAGTCCCTCCTCAGGTAAATGGGTGCTATTGGGCTAACATACACCAAAATGGTCACAGACAGACATCTACAAGTTACTAGAAGCAAAACCAGTAACAAGACTGTCAAATAGGTACGTGTGCACATGTTGAAAACTCCAAGGCAAGTTTTCATAGAGCATGCAGATTTTCAACATGGCATGCTAAATAAGATTGCTTTCCCAACATAAAAAGGGGCATTTGAGATATTCTAACTTGAAGAAGGAGCCCTTGGAAAAAAGACACATGGGAAGAAGAGAGGATTTACCATGTACACCCTACTGGTAGAACAAGGTGAAGCTGGAAAAGTATCTGGGCCAGATGGTGGATCCTAGATGGTTGTTGCTGGCTTTGGTTTTTTTCCTATAAACAACGGAGAGGCTATTATAGATTTCTGATGTGAGGGGGTTAGTGATGGTTCTAGGTTTTTAGAGAGGGTTTTATAATGTAGCTGGTGTATTTCTGTGTATTAGATGTTATCACTAAAGAAAATGTGTGACAAGCCACCTGATACCTATATTGGAAAGATACAAAAATGACATTCTATGTTTTAAGAAAAGAAAACAAAAGTATACAAGTCCTGTGCTTCCTGTTTTAATCCCATGCTGACCCTGAACTGATCCTTCACAACAGTGTTTCTGTAGTTTGCTGACACTTTTGGTACATGCTCTGCTCTTCTGAGAAAGTTTTTTGCATACATGTAGGCACATAGGCAATGGCTGTCTCTACCACCAAAAGCATAGACAATGTAAATACAGCCATCCTCTCACCTCTATTCAATCTAGAAATCATACAGACTGTCCAGATTGAGAACAACATTCCCAACTAGGTCTGCTCATTGGACAAACACTTTTATTTTTTTAACATTCAGTGTGCAGTGTGCAGTGTAGCATCTTATGCTACACGGACTAAGCTGTATCCTGTCAGGTCCACACTTTGAAGTGACAAAACCTAGTACCTTCAGTCACCTCGTGGAGGAATTTCATAAAAATTTGGCATCTCCATTATGTTACTTTTCAGAAGGCAGAGCTGAACACAGAACTTGCCTCTTCTTTTGGAAGATAGCAGATTGGGATGTCAATTTGGTAGAGTAATTTTCAAGCCTTGCCATTTCAAAAATGTATATTTATATAGATGGGTATAATTTGCAAAACTCAGAAGCCATACCTTTGCCAAGTACTGCTTGATCCCTCGAGGTGCAAACAGATTGGAAATTTTAATAGATGGCTGTTACAGTAGAATGAACTAGCTGAGGATCCATCTTAGGCAACAGTCAGGTAATATCAAGCTTGACAATTTCAACCCAAGCACAGAGTGTGGAATATAAACAGCATTTAATTGCTTAGGAAATTGGCTGCCTCCAAGAGAAAATCCACTCTACGTTCCTTATAACGCTGCCGAGCCAGCCAGGAGAAGCCAAGGAAACTGTCTCCCTGATGATTATTTCATTGATGCGAAGATATAAAATGCAGTCAAGACGTAATTTACAGAAACCTGTGTCAGAAAGGAAGATAAAATACAGTCTGAAAATACCTAATTTGGTTTGATTTTTTTGTGTTTCTCCCTTGAGAAATCTTGCTGTCTTAGATTTATTACAGTTCCTCCTATTTTTTTATGTCATACTTATATTTATTCTTACAATTTTCTTCTGGTAGATCAGCTTAATTCAGCAAAATCTGTACAAGCCCAGTTGTTATTATGACCCACAAGCCTCTCTGTGGCCTGTCTAGTGCTAAAACTGTATATAGTAGGTGTTCAGTAAACTGATTTCTTCCTCCCTTCTTCAGCTCTTTGGGCATGTTGTGACCCATAGTGATACTGGGAATGAGTGGAAATGAAGGCAGTGATGTGCTCACCTATCATTCCAGTCACTGCACAAGTATTTGCTCAGCATTTCACATGTGCCTGGCATTGTGCCCAGTACTGGAAGAAGAGAACGCAGTATACCAGCCACCAGCCCCTGCTTCACAGACCTTAGGTTTCTTGAGTATGGCAATAACACTTGCCACTTACAGTAGTAGCTTTAAATTTTTTATATGTACATATATACATACAGATACACATGCTATGCATTTCATGTGTATGCATTTATGCGTGCATCTGTGTGTGCCAATACTGGAGTTTGAACTTGGGACCTAGAAACTATCCATTAGTTTTTTCACTTAATTCTGGTATTCTCCCACTTGAGTCACAGCTCCACTTCTGGATTTTGGTGGTTAAGCAGAGATAAGAATCTCATGGACTTCTCTCCAGACTGACTTTGAACCATGATGCTCAGATCTCAGCCTTCTGAGTAACTTGGCTTACAGGTGTGAGCCACCTGTGCCCAGCTGTGGGCATTTTTGAAAGTGGCACTTGCAGTATGCTCTCCCTGGAAAGGTAGCCAATTCGGGGGAGCAGTGTTAGGGTAAAGGTAAGAGAAGGGGGAATCTTTTTTTTTGGCTTTTTTTATTGTGAAAATACTGTACAGAGGGGTTACAATTACATGGGCAAGATAATGAGTACAATTCTTATCAAGCATTGTTGCCTCCTCCTTTGTTTCCCCTTCCCATCCCTTCCCATCCTCCCTTCGCCCCCCCCACCCAATCTTCCCCGTTCCCCCTGCACCAAAGTTGTAAAGTTCATTTTCGACATAACGACCTGTACATCTCATTGTTGCAATGGGTCCACCTGTATCCCTATTTAAGCGATTTGTTTTTCCCCTTCCCCTCCACAAATTATACTGACATCAAATACAGTGAAAACAGGGGTTATACTGTGGGGGGGGGGGACATACAAAGCAACAAAGAAATAATCTTATAAATGCGTTAGAAACAATTGCATGAAAGAAAAAAAAACATTTGAGTACATATCTTAGGGTTCATTTCCCTAACATCACCTTATCTGACCTTTTCTGCTTGACTCAGACATATACTAGATATTGCAAATAAGGGAAACCATGGGACCTATGTTTCTTTGGGCCTGGCTTACTTCACTTAATATAATTTTTTCCAAGTCTTTCCATTTCCTAACAAATGGGGCAATGTCTTTCTTTCTGATGGAGGCATAGAATTCCATTGTGTATATATAGCACATTTTCTTGATCCATTCATCTACTGAGGGGCATCTGGGTTGGTTCCATATCTTAGCTATAGTAAATAGTGCTGCAATAAACACAGTCGTGCTGGTAGCTTTATTGTGGTCTTGTTTGTGAGCATTTGGGTAAATGCCCAAAAGTGGGATTGCTGGGTCATAGGGGAGCTCTATGTGAAATCTTTTGAGGAACCTCCATACTACTTTCCAAAGTGGTTGAACAAGTTTACACTCCCACAAACAATGCAGTAAGGTTCGAGAAGGGGGAATCTTTTGGGGCCAGATCACCTCATTCCATTTGCTGACTGCTAGGCCTTCCAAAGCCAGGGGAAACACAGTTTTATAGTGTTTTGTAGTGTCTGAGACACCAAGTCTCCCAGCGTCGGTTTCATTAATATAAATTCTAAGAAAGAGAATGAGTAGGCACCCTGCTGATTAACTAGACATTGTTCTGAGACAATTCAACTTAATGAAGACTGACTGGGAAGTAACTGTGCATAGACCCAAAGTTTATGGGATGGCTTAGAGAAAGTGAGAAGGAGCTCGATAGCACCATAATTACACTTTATTAGAAACAGTGGCACCAGGCAGACGAGATAATGAATTCCAGTGTGTCTAATGCAGACTATCCAGCCCTGAAGGAGCCCTGGGTTTGGTCTGTGCAATGAAGAGATTGATTAGACCACAAGGAAGCATTCTCTCCTCCTTCACGGGGGATTTCTGTGGGCAAGAACACTTAAAAGTTTTGTGTACTTTCCTCCCTTTTGGAAAGCTGCCCATAATCTCTCTTTATGTGATAAAGAATTTCTCTCTGTATTAAATGGAAGTTCTGACAAAGGTCTGCAACAGTGCTATTGAGAGCTCGCCATGTGTCACCATGCATCTGGTCCTTCTGAGAACTAGACTTAGATTTCCTTAGTGTGACCAGAATCAGCCTGTGACTGAGAGGTAGAGGTGGAAGTGGTACCAGCATTTTGCAG